GAAAATGTATGTAATATTATGTGCAAGAAGATATTTCGCGACAGGTAGATTTCTGAATCAAGGCATGAAGTTTTGCACAGTGACTTTTCATTTTCGAAGATATGCTTTGATGAAGAGATCACCTGAGGTTATTTTCATTAATATTTCATTTAGAGTCAATTATTTTTTATTATTAATTATTATAAATAAACATCTTTTTTATTGTATTTTTACTAAAATTAATAATTCAATAATTCATTAAATTTGTTAAGTAATGTATTTATTAAAAAATGAAATAAAATGATATAATTTTAGCCCGTTAAATTTACATTAATACTTTTTTTAGCTCAGGATTTTCAGGTTTAATCCCTTCCATGTCTATTGCCAGGATCTCACTCACGTGCCCAAGTGCTACTTGGGTGAGAGAGAGGCGATGGATATGATGGCCTTAGTTTATAAGCTAATAAACATTTTTTAGCGACTGACGATGCGTTAGTGTATCGTGCACGACGTATTTTCCATATTATGTGTGTGTGGTTAGGCTGTGGAATTGCGTCGTTTTATTTATCATTTCATAACACGATATAATTTGAAATATTTAAAATATTCACGAATAATACCATTACAATATTTTCAACAAATTTTCAACAATATTTGTATGCTTTATTATAATTCTTGCTTTCGAATTGTGATAATGGCGAATGATGATCAAATTTTCATGCTACTTTAATAATTTAATTGTCTTAAAAAATACATCCATTTATAAATAAATATTTCTAATCAAAATTAAGATATAAACATGTTTTTATTGCATTATTACGTGCATTTCACGCAATGGTCACTAGCCATCGTCAGTCGATTTCAGGAAAATGGTACGTACAGTTAGAGTGTGCGAGTTGTGTGCCAAGCTTGGGTGTCGGAGGCATCCCGGGATGCTTTCCCTAGTGTAGGCTTTTGCGCCCGAGTATTATGCGTGAGAATCGTAGTATGAATGTGTTGGTATGCCTGTTTTGCCATTTTTTAAATATAGGGTTAGGTAGGATAGGTAGTATACTTCTGGTGTGTGTGTTAATTATAAGTAGGTAGGGCCGGGCAGGTTGTCACAGTCTCTGGTCGGGTAGGCGTGTTTTCGCGTGACAACCTGTTTCAGGAAATATAATTTGAAAAATCGAAAATGAAGTTGGAATATGCGAATGGAGCATGCCATTCGTATTTGACTTTATTCATCGATTTTTCGAATTTCCGCGGCCGCGGTCGCGAGGTAAATTCGAAACGAACGTTGCGCTCGAGATTCTGCACGTGTACGATCAACGATCGTAATTGATAGTTGATCGTCTACGCGCACTTAGCTTTCGCGATTTATTCTTTTTCTTTTTTTTTTTCTTTTGATTTGCGATTAGCGAAATCTCGAGCCTAGATTTAAGTTTCAGCGGGCATTGCGCCCGAAGGAGGAAGACCGAAGAGGCCCCGACAAACTGTCGTGAAGAGGGCTGCAACGAATGACTTCTCATTTTTTGGATCTTGTTTGGATCTAAAGAATGGGAAGTCATTGTTACTATTTTGTCATTGTGCTCATTTTAGCAATATGTAGTAATTGTTGTGTTGTCTAGCCAATTTGCATGCTGGCTCATCATTTATATCTATCATTGCGGGCATCGCGATTTATTAGTGTTGCGATTGATTAATAACGGGTTGAATTAGAGTTGCGTTTAAACGACAATCGCGTTTGTATTAGTGTTGCGTTAAAATGAAAATCGCATTTGTACTAGTTTTGCGAATTACAAGATATCACAGTTTTTTTATTATTCTTTTTGTTTTTTTATTATTATTCTTATTATTATTATTATTATATTTTTATTATATTTTTTTGTTTTGTAATTTTTTATAAAATAATATGAAAATTGATATCACTTGTTTATTTTAATTAATAGTAGCTTTATAACTATAGAATATAAAAAAGTTATTTTTATTGAATTTGTTTTAAAATGTAGTGTTGCGTTGATGAATAATCGCGTTTTTAATAGTGTTGCGAATATTAAATGTCCAAGTTTTTTCCACTGGAATTGTGAAAATATTCACATTACTATTTCTGAATGACTTTACGTAGCTAGAAAAAGCTGCAAGGGTCATTGTACTGTAGCATTTATGAAGAAGACTACACTGAATTTTTCGCTATTAGTGTTGCGTTATTAAAATTTGAGTGCATAGAATAATGTTGCTTAATAATTGATCGTTTTTTAGCTTTTTTTATATATTTTTTTGTCAATAAATTAATCAATATTGCATATTTAATAAAGCACTCGTCGTGATTTATTTAAAAAAATTTGTATTTTGTAAAAAAGAACATTTATTAGTGTTATACAAAATAGAAGTGCGGTACAAAATAAATTCCACTTTCGGTTTGTTTTTCGGGTTCATGTTAAGTGGAAAAGTGGAAAATATTTTTATTTTGGTAGTCCTTCTGACTACTGAATTTTTTTCTTTTTCAGCATTCCTTATCACATTTTCTATTTGTTGCAGAAAAAATTCTTTCTATTAAATTTTTTGAAATCAATAATGGTGAATGTTCATTAAAACTTATCTTTTTATATTTCAGATCATAGTATTTTTTTTATTATACTAATTTTAAATAAGCTTGTTTCAGATATATTAACTCTCAGTATTCTATATATTTCAAGAAAATTTGGTATTTGAGTTTATCACCATTTAGTAAGTAATTATATTTTATGAAATTTTTTATTAATTATTGGTAGATTAATTTATCTGAGAGATTATTATGAAATCAATTAAAGAATTCGCATATAATAACATAAATAATATAGTTACTTTCTTTTCTTTTATATTATATTAGATATCTTTTTGTAGGAAGAGTTTCGAAATATATATTAGATTTTTATATAAGTAATATTTTCAATATTAGGAATAGAGAAAAATATATTTAGATTCTATATAGGAACGATGAGGTTATAAGTAGGAACAATTGAAAGTAATTATATTTCATAAAATTATTATTAGTTTTTTATAATCTTATTTGTTTTGAGAGATTGGTTTGGAATAAGTATCGAAATTAGGTAATACTAATATGGGATATTTGTATTTCACAGACCCTTTTGATTTTATTAAGATTTTTCTATAGATAACATAATACTATTAATTTAAATTTTCATTAAGAATCATATAAATTATCATATAACATAAAAGTATCCTAATTGTTAATATAAGTTTAGTTAAGTTCACAAATTTATAATTTTTTTTTTTTAAATAACAATTTTAGAATTTATATAGATTGTTTATATGTAGAACTGCTATAGAAATATTGCTTAAAGTAGAATATATTTGTAAGCATATGCATAATAAATGATAGTAGTATTGATGTTAAAATTGGGAGCAATTAGTAAAATAAATATAGTTCTATGTGCAGTATATTTATTTTTTTGATTTTTTAACTTCATAATTATTTCAATATTTTATTTATTTATCAATATTTATTTATTTTATATTTTCATATTAATGAATATATAAAATATCTATATTAATTTGAATTATTTATGTCTCATGTAGAATTAATTTTAATGTAATTTAATTTTTATTTTCAGATTTAATTGTGTTATTTTTCTTATCTTTTTGTTGTTTGTTTTACACGAAAATAAAATTTTTGTATAAAAAAAGATAGATAGAACTGTGATAGTATGAGCTTGTAAATTTTTTCGCAGCATATATATATATATATATATTTCGTATATATATGCTATGTGTATTTCGAGGATAAAATAAATAGTGTCTATATCGACTGTTAATAAATCTAAAGGGTGTAAGAAATATTTTGTTTTTTCGAGATCGATATTTCAGAATGTAAAATACAAAATCTTATAAGATATTACGTCTGAATAGTTTATCTATGATGAAATTAATCAATTTAAAATCATCTTTTTAGAAGTTTTCAGAAAATAATGTTAATATTTTTATTTATTACGAATATCTTCCAAAAGATGGCACTAATATTAAATTCTTATCTTATTTTATTGCACTTTATTTATATTGAATACTTAAAAGATGGCGCTGATAGTCGATTATTGTATTATCTCTATCTTTCTTCTATTATTTGCTATCCTTATTTATATAATTTAATTCGCGACATACTAGAGATGGCGTTGATTCTTTAATTTTTACCATATTTTTGTCTTTTTTTCATTATTTGCTCTTCTTATCCATATCCATATTTGTTTTGCATCAATTTTATTTTAATATTTAAAAAAAGTATAAAATAATTTTATTATTTTATAATATATTCTTCTATCGAATATTATTTCCGAACTAAAGAATCATTAGATATATGAATCAAATTTACTTATTATATAGATTATATAGATATCGAGCAAAAAATATAATCGCGAAAATAGATATTTACAATAAAATCTTCTTTTTCGATCGTTAAAACATATCGATATTTTCAGACACCGGAGAATGGTAATCTATTTCAAAGTTTCATGGAGTCTTGGAGGATTTGGATGTTTTCGATCATTTGTAACGATTGCGATAAGGAACCTCGAAGAATTCATAATCCAAAAGTTAATTGAAACTCTCGATCCTCCATTTCTCCGTCGGGTACCGTAAAAATATTTAAACACGGTAGCTTCACGGCATGCTTGGAATTTCATTGTTCGTCCATTGAATTTTACGAGACCGAACTTTACGATAAGCGAGCTTTTTCTTGCGACTTGAAGCTCGTTTGCCTCGTAATCTCCTCGAGTTTGCGTTCTCGTTAAAAGAGAAGATGAGCCGGTACGTACGATGAGAGGTCGTGTCTTCAAAGAGAGTAAGAAAGAAGAAAAAAATAAAAGATAAAAAGAGATGAAATAGAAAGATTTAGAGAGCGAAATGTAAGCGAAACCTCGAAAGTGTTAATGTAGTTTGTCAAGCATAAAGCTTGAAAGCTTATCGATTTCATTTATGGCAAGATATGCTCAATATCTGAAACTTTTGAGCAATGGAGAATGATATTTTTGAAATTGATATTGTATTACAATATATTTTCCATGCAATGATCATTTACGATACAAATTCGATATCATAAAGTGGATGGAAATTGGCCATCATAAAACTTCTAAAAATATTTCGGATCGATCAAACTTCTTCGAGTGATATTTCTTTTTATTCATAGGATATTTTTATCGTTACTATTATTTACTATTCTTGGAATTATTTTTTTTCTTTTTTTTTTTTTTTTTTTTTTTCATTCGAAACTCGAGATGACATTTTGAAATTGAAAAAGTAGGTTTCTAAGTATTTTTATGAGATGAATAAAGAGATGTAATGAGTAAGAATCATTCATCGTTTCGAAAAATACGAAAGCCTCCATGTCCTGTGATTTCTATGGCAACATTTCGTTGTTCTGACCTCCTTTTTCCTCGATCCAAGAATGGAAGATGGAACATTGAAACGCCGCTGAAAACGGCTAGCAAAAGCGCTATCGTGATTTGTGACCCGCTTATTCCGGCTGATCGTCCATTTATTTCTATGCGAATTCTGCAACTAGTTTGCTAGTTTACGATAGTTTACTGTTGAAACATGCAGAAAACATATTATTTCGATTAGTTCTTAAATCCTTAATAATTTTATCTATAATAAACCTTATACTATACAAAATTTTAGATATAATGTAAATTATATTTGTTATAAATCGTTCCATTTATCCCATATTGCATATATTTCGTGAAATATGAATATTAAAAAAAAAAAAAACAAAAATTTTTTTTCTCATCAAGAGTTACTTACATAAAATTCATTCTATTGATTCCTTTCCACAAAATATATAGTAATCTTTATCCGCAGTCAATTTCCATAGCTTTTCTTCATCCATTCTTCATCATACGTTCCTTCGAAAGTAAGGAACAAAAGATCTGACATACAGCGTTCTGCATGTTATTCTTGCACTTCCGCTGATTGCCATCAAATCGTTCATCCCTCGCGCAAAGGATCTCCCAGACCAAACTTTGATTGTCATCTCTTTGCCTAAAAAGATCCATAATGGTATAGTAATGGTATAGTATGGTATAGTATGGTATAATAATAACGACTACACAAGTTTTGTTTAATCTCAGTTCAAAAAACCTTTTCGACCGAAGGGAAAAAAGTCGGTGATTCTTAAATCGAAAGATTTAGAAATAAAATAAAAAAAAAACAAGTAAAAAGCTTCATATGCGTTACACGCACAGATATGCAAGCGTTTTAGTTTTTTCTTCGTGTCTCTTTATTTCTTCAGAATGGCGGGCGATCGACGAGATTGGGCTGGTGGAGAAAGGCAATCTTTCGTTTTCATTTTCGCGTTGAACGAACGAGGCTAGGATTAAAAAGCCTCTGTCGGGTTTGAAATCGAAGCGAATCGTTGCGTGACGATAAAAAGAATCGAGAATGAGGGATGGAAACGTAGGAAGGGAAAAGAAAAATTCACAAGGGAGGAATTCACATTTTTTTTTTTAGAGGACGTTCGAATTCGAACTGATAGAGAGAGAAGATCTCGAATGAAGAATTTTTTCAATTCTAATTCTTGTATTCGCTTTTAATTAAACATTTTTATGAAAATTAACGAATCGTTTATTTATTAATCATCAAGCGATATTTTTTTTTTATTTTTCTCGCAATGTGATCCTTTGCAACCAGATAACGCACATGGCCGCCTATTGTATGCAAATTGACAAGCTTAGGTAACTGCTTTGTGGAAAATCCGCGGCGGTAACACGCGGTAGCGCGATGATTTAATCGCTATTACCATAATGGTGAATAATTTTCTGGCCAGCCACTAATTATTAATTACGCATGGTCGCGTGCTATCAGCCGGATCAATCTTTGACGTTAACTCGATACTGTGAAATCCCTACGGAGGATATCATGCTCGATATTTTCGGTTTCACCAAGTTTATTGACCGATGCTTTCTTTATTATGCGGCAAAGTTTAGTTTATGAACAAGTTTTCTGATCGAATCGAAACTTTTCATCCTGCTGTTTCATGGTCTGTATTTCGAAAACTATTTTTTTTTTTTTTTTGATTAAGGAAAGAAGATAAACATTCCAAGCTTTATATTTCAGTTCCTTTTCGAAATTTTACTAAGAAGTTGTTTCGGTTCTATAGTTTTTTAAAAAGAAATTGATATTGCTAAAAATTTTATATAAACGAGCAAACTGAGGATAATACGACAAATAAAATTGGAGTAAAGAGAATATTGTTACGAATTCTTCTTTTGTCTTAAGCCCTTAGATATTCTTTTATCTATTGAAAACCGTAGCAACAATATTACTCCGTTCTTCTTGATATCCTTTTTTTATAAAAAAAATGATAAAATTTTAAAATTGAAATTCATAAATAATTATATATACAAATTATATATACAATTTTAAGTTTTTTCTCAAATAAAGAATAATTAGAAATTAACGTAAAAAGAAAATAAAAAATCTTGTCCAAAAAATCAAGAAACATAACTGAGTAACATTCATCAATGATTATTAAAAATTTTTAATGAATTTAATCGGCGTTAAAGTGTTAAAATTTAACTTTGCATAAAGATATCTTTACGATGAAAATATCGAAAAAAATGGTTGAGCCTATAATTAACATTGAACCATTTCAGTGAAATCGATAATGGCAGAATCACGAAAGAACGTAGACGTGCCTTAATTATTGCGCCACAACCAGGCCTGTGCAACGACGTGCGTTCAATAGCAAAATTTCATCGAGCAGCTAGATAGAGATATCAAGGGGTGGGTTGGGGAGAATAGAGGCTGGAAACAGCGTACCGGTATAATAAGCTGCCCTTTAAAACCAACCGAGGCTGCTCGTTCAAAAACCCGAAGCGTGCTTACAGGATTTCCGCCGCGATTCACCGCTCCTTATTTCGATCCTCGACGAGAACACGACCGAGAAACAAATATTCTTGCTCGCCGTTGGCCTGCCTTTAAATTACACAACCAGCCCAGCTGGAAAAATCCCTCTTTTCCTCCTTCTTCCGTAAAATGCAATTATTTTCTTCATTTAAAGTGCTATGTTTTTCTTGTTACCACGGAATCCGTTAATTGATTCTCCTTTCATTTGATATCGTAATCTGTGTGTTATTTACATATACTATTCCCGAAATAATTGGATTACAAACAAAGTAGAGAAAAATATTTTAATTTCTTATCGTATTCAAAGATACAAGATCGTAAATAAATACAATATAGAAAGGAATTATAATCTTGAACATATGCAAATTTTCTCGTAAAATAAATTTATTATGAGAACGTAACATATGTACATATATATTTACAAATAATCCTTGCTCCGTCATATTCGCGCAACAACAAATGTTTCGACTAACTTCAATTACCAGCGATTGAAATATTTAATGATCGCATTATATTTCTAATTGGAAACGAAACATATTTTTCAATCGATCTTAGTACGTGTAGTAAGTTTCAACTTCGTATGTTTCATGTTTTAATTGTAAAGGATTGTTTGAGTGAAAGCTTGAATGCAAAGATGGTTCAACACCTTTCTTCGATAACGCGCGAAACTTCTAATTGGATCTAATCTTAATAAAACACAGCTACGCATGGCTCGCAACGAACGAAACTTCAACAGGGACTTACAGTCGTAAGCGAGGATTAAGGTAGTAAGCTTATAACGGGGGAACTATTATTATCTGAAATCTGTTCGCCTTGGTCCAAGTGATTATTAAGACCATTCTGTGCGAATTCTTGGATAATTTCGAAGATAGCGCTTGTTACATTGTGTATCGCTCATGAAAAATTTTGAAATGTATGTTCTTAGAAAGATTCAGAAATTATTTTATATTTGGATATATACTTGGAGAAAGGGAAAATAGGATTTGAATTTAGAAATTTTGATATTAATAGAAAAATTTGTAGGAGAGATGAGAAAAAACAAAAGTTAGTGAAGAGAAATGAGATTTTATTATTTAAAAATTTAAATATTGATAGAAAAATATTTAAGAGAAATAAGTAAAAAGAACTTTCTTTGATTCAAATGATAAAAAAAAGACAAGGTTAAATTTAAACTGAAATAAAATGAAATTTAAGATATTATTTTCAAATTGTTCGCATTGTTGATTGGTCATATCGGAAAATTATATCTATTGACGCTTTTCATTTCGAAGCATGCGTTTCCGTTTATAACGCGTTAGACATTTTCGAGCAGAGAGGGTTGTAAAATAAATTTTTCTGTGAAACGGTTACGAGGGGTGCAACCGCGCCGCTGAAATAACCCTTTGGGTGTCGAACGACGATATATTGTTTCGTTGTGTACAAGCCAAAAATACAGGAGTTACGGGCATATCGCTGAAACGTTCAGAGATTGATGCCTCGGGAATAACCCGTTCGAAAAATAACACGAATAAAACTAAATGCATATAAATCTGTCGTATAAACAATCATACATATGCGACATATATTCCCTATAAATAAAATTTGGAATACGATCTGTAAAGAATTCCTCTCGATATCGTAAATTATTTCGTTTAATGTCACGAATTATTCGAAACCAATTAAGAAGCAAGAATGAAGAGAAAAAAGCAAAAGATTTCATAGAATCGTGAAAATAATAAGGCGAACGGTTTATGGATCATTTTGTGCCTCGAAAGTATATTTTCAATAAAAATCGTGACATGGTAAAGGCGGTACTTCGCGTCATGTGTTACGATTGCACGTGTGATTTAAATTTCAAATTTACCGCGCGTGTGCGCGAATCTAGCGACGCATCGATGCAAACAATAATGTATGCAAACCGCGATGAAAATGTTTCGCGTAAATTAATATACTTGCAATCGAATAAAATCATCGTTTCTTTGCTCATCTTTTTTTTTTCTCTCTTTTATTTTTTTTTTCAACGAGAAAATCCATTTGCATTTATCTTCTTTTTTTTCTTACTTTCCTAAAAATTCAAAGGAAAGAAAATTTAAAATAAATTTTTCAATTCAAAATTGTAATTTTGTAACATCCTTTTGACAAAAGATTAGATTAATTTTTACTATTATGGATGAATCACTTTACTTCTATGCAAAGTTTCATTATTTTTTGAATTTCTGGGCTTTCTAACTTTTCTGCATATTACGTGCCAGGAGACGTTTACACGTACCGTGACGTAGATCAAAGGAATATAAAAATGAATTTCAACGAAAGAAGTGATGATACCGAGGGAAAAAATAACTGACAAGGATACTTTGTTATCAATTTTTTAATAAGTGATATTGATATGATGATATGTGACGAATATTAATAGAAGGATAAAAATAATAAAATATAAAAATAAAAATATAAAAATAACGACGGTCTTCGCGTATATAACTCTATTAAATATACGATTGAAAGAGTACTTTAAAATCTTTATTTCTACATAAGAATACAAAATATTTGTTATTTTTTTTTTTTTTTTTAATTGACAATCATCGGATTTGTGGGAAATCCCTGTGAAGGATTCATAAAGATAAATCGTGTCATATCATCACATTATTTTAATAAAATATATTTGTCTGAAGTTTTTCGAATTTTTGGAATTGCCGTTTAATAGATCAGAAAAATGAGGCGAAATGAACTTATTAACAGTAACAATGCTCTGAAAGGGGAATAAGATATATTCTCTTAATTCTATATTCATGAAAAAAAAAAACCGGTTTCAACGGACGAAGCTTCGTTCGAAGCACACTTCATTTAATGGGTTGCTGACTTGGTAATTGCCGTTAGAGTACTACATAATTTAGTCGTCCGTAACGAGACTGGTTAGGGAGACGTGTTACTTCCTTAAGTTGAGCATCTTAACACGAAATATGATAAGAAAAGTAAGGTACATAGGGGTAATGATTATCTTTTTTGCATATTCTTAATAAGCTATTAATTATTACTTCATTTCATACAATAAATTTCTTCCAAAAGTGTTGTGGAGGTATCTCAGAAATCTGTAATATTTCTCGAATATCTTAAATATAATAATTATATTATAATAATTTTGAAGAAATAATCCATAATTGGTCACAATCGGTATGCATTTTATATAGAGTGAAAAAAAGTGATATTTTAATGATTTGAAAATAAAATAAAAGAATTTTGTTAAAGAATAGAATCGCAAAAAACTCAAACAAATATTTTATAATCAATTCATATCCAAAATGTTTAAAGCAGAATACATTCCTGAATATTTCATATTTATCTTAATAATCTAGACACGGTTGTAATATCTTCAGATTTAAAATGTACATATGTATGTAAAATAAATGTTGTATGCTATTCAAAGTTGCTTAAGCAAAAAGTACTTAAAGATGTGTAAAGTTTCGTTCGGCAAGCCCTAATTTTTCAGTCAAATGGCATCTAATGAAACCGACCAAGAAAATAGTTCAAGCTTTTACTTTTCGTAGGAAGAACAAGCAATAAAATTCCTACGGAAACCGGTTACGCTTGTTAAATATTTATGAGAATTTCCGCAATTTTTTGTATTTTCTTCTATCCTTTCCTGCTCACTATTTTTTTTTCTACGCTCGTATCTTCCTTCTCCCTCTTCCCCCTTTTATTATATATTCCGTTAACTATACTTATACGGTTGGTGAAAACTTCGCAACGACGCGAGTATTTGTCGGTGCCCGTCCGGCGCAGTATCCGGACCGACGGGTCATTTATTACAAAAAATGGTGTTATAACGGAGGAAGGACGCGAGAGTATGTCC